TTTTTATTTTTGTTAATCAAATAAAACCAAAATTTAAATTTTATATTATTTTGAGAGTTATGGTTTTAAGAAACATGCAATATAGTAGTATGTAATTTTATATAATGAACTTTTTTTAATACTATCCAAAACCAAACAGTTCGTATAGAAAAAGTTGGCTATGTATGTATTCTATGAGGCGAAAAAAATAACTATTTTTGTTTTGTTAAATAGTAAACCAAAAATTGTTAAAGATATATTTATAATATTATTAAAAATAAATTATTACTTAGAATAAATTTCAATGTAATTTTTTTTTTCTTTTTTTTTATTTATTTATTTATTTATTTTTTATTTAAAAATTCAGCAATCTTGCCAATCACTTTATTAGGATGCAATATTAAACTCATGGGTAAAATATTAATTATGATTCAAGTCACCTTAAGCCCACCTAAGTTACAAGAGTTGGCTAACCTGGTTGTTCTCAAGCAAATACCTATGTTCGATCTGCTATAGTAAATGTTTATCTCCATACCAAAAAACCCTGCAAGTGAATTCTTTGATACTTCACTGAATAGTATTTATGGCCTATCTTTTCTAAACCTTCTTCCTCTAGCTTCATGAGCAGAAGGATTCATAGTTTCAACTTACTTATGAAAAAAAAATTAACACTAAAAAGATAAAGAGAATGACACAAAAAGGAAAAATAAAAAAAATTGCCTTTGCAACAAGAAAATGAAAAAAAGAAACAAATAAAACAAGAAGAAAAAGGCAGAAAAAAAAACAATCTATAAAAGCACTATTATAGCCTGTGTTAGGCACAAGTTGTAAAAATTATATACTAAATTTAAAATCTTATATATATTTATTGTAAAGCTGGGTTAGAATTCCACAGCCTAGTGGTCTAGGCACCTAACTTTTCACAAGTAGGTTTTGGGTTCAAGTCCTAGTAAATACATTTATTTACAAATATTTGAACATACTCATATATAAAAGTCTAAGTGAATATGGATTTGAAATAGAAATTTCTGGAAAAAGATTAATTGTGGAGAGATGGCATTATGTGTAATAGTTGATATTAAAGAAAATTCTATTACATAAAGGTTGTGTATATAAATCCTCGATTGGCATAGGTAGCACCAACAACTTTAAGGTGGCACTGGAATTTTGTTAGAAAAGATAACAGGCGGTAACTAGAATTGGAGTAGCAAGAAAAGTGGTGAAACACAATGGGATCTGTAATAAAGAATTGGCCTTACCAGATTTGAAACACCTCTGGTGCTGTGTAGAGCTGCTTACTAAAAGGAGACCAAAGCATGGAGATATGTACATGTTAAGACCCAACGAGCTCTGGGCGCACTCATATAAGAGTCTTCAGACATTAATAGTGGTTTGGGTTTACCAAAATGCAGATAGCTAATATAAGTGCATATAGTGTGTAACTGAGCTACAATTGCTAAGAATCACTATAAAAAGAAACGATGATATATCTGTTATGCAAGGAGCCCTATGATGCCAGCCAACTATCAGTTCTGGAAGTGCAGGATAACCTGTTACAAAACATGCCTGGGTCCTTGTTATTATAAAGAGAAGTATAGCCATTAGCACAATTACTGAATTCAATACATTAAGGCCTAAACTCTAAAAGTTACAGAAAAGTGGGCTGGTTGTGGCAGCATACAGGCTTGAGATACTTACCCATCTGGGTAGAGACAGCTGCATGATTTGAAATACGAACCTCCTACAAGTACATCAAACAGAAGCATAAACTAGGCACACTAAACTGGAAGCATTAAGTGCCAATCTAAAGCATTAATACACTAATTTGGGAGTTGAGATACTAGATAATGTGGGTGAAGTAGTGGACATGTGGAAGTTAAATGGCAGTGAGTAAGGATATGCAAAATTCAGATCAACAGTATAGTGGAAGTACAGTTGGCTCTAGTGGGTTTTAGCTGTAGATAAATAGTTTGTACGCCATTATATAGGCAGAGTGCTATAGAAAAGGGAAAATTGACAAATTTTCAAATTTTTTTTTACACAACTCAATTTAAAAAAATCCTAGGATCATTTTTCACTTAAAACATGAAAGCAGTTGTATTAATAAAATTTTGTAGTATAGCTCTTTAAAGTTTGTATTTTCTTATGATTTATTATAAAATTTATAATATAAAAATTGATTTTTCAAAGATCTTTTGTTTTCGATTTCTCTCTTTTCTGTAGCACCAAGCCCATATATCAATTATTTAAGTATTAATAAAGTCTAAATGCAGGTGCTACACTCTTATAATATATAAAAAAATCTATTGTAAAGCTAAGCCTTATTGTTAAAATTTTCTTTCAACTTTACTATCTGGTCTGGGTCAGTTTATTAACCAAAGTGCCAATTGGTTTGTCATGTAATGTAGATTATGATTGTCAAAACAATTTTGTGTTTATGTTCTACTTTGTCTATCCAAAAATAGAAGGTGTAAACAATGCCAATATTTTGAAAGAGGTAAGCTAGAATACCTACTTTTTGTCAAATTTTTTTTGTAAAAGTGGCAAAAAGATTAAGTATAGGATAAAAACCACTTGTACACAAAATAAAAGAGCATGAGTTTATTTTACTAGAATCAAATAAAGTCACACCAAAGTATACACAGTAATAAGTTTTGTTAGTGAGTAGTAAACTCTAAATTTGTCAGCAAATAGCATATGAGAACTATCTCTAAACAACAAATACTATGTCTATAGTAACAGTAAGTAATAAACTCTAAAAATATCAGCAAATAGCATATAAGATCTATCTCTAAACAATAGTTGCTATTCTAAGGTCACACTTTTTATGTCTTGTATTTTTTTCTAGTAAAACGTTTTTTAGAAATTTTTGTAAAAGTGATCATCAAAAAGAGTTGTGAGAATTTTAATATTCTGAACAAGATTTGTTAAAGTATAAAGTTATAATCAATTAGTAAAATTTTGATAATCACTATATTTTATATAATTTTATTAATAAAAATACCAAAAATACTATAATTTTCAAATTTTACTAATAAACTTTGTTCAGCATATAAAAATACAGTATTCTGGTATATTTAATTTTATATTTCTTGAAAAGAAAAAAGAAGATACTTGATTTTGAATTTTTTAATCAAAATATCCAAAATTAAAAACTTTCTCTTAAATTTTCATAAAATATAAAATTAAATATGCTAATATAATATATTTTTGTGTGCTTGACAAGGTTAGTTAAAGCATAAAGCTAGAATCAATTAGTAAATTTTGAGAACCTTAATATTTTATATAATTTATTAATAAAAATATTAAAAAATGCTATAATTCTCAAACTTTACTAATTAACTATAACTTTATACTCTAACAAACCTTGTTTAGTATACAAAAATGCATTATGCTACATATTTAATTGGCTAAAAGCTATAATTTAAAATTTTTGGTTATATTATAAAATTATTTACTAATTTCTAGCTAAATTAGCTTTTTGATTTTCAATAAAAATAGAAATTTTAAAAAATAATTCCAAGATTCTCTTGAATTAGAAATAATATTTACTTAATAGGTGACTATAATTTTATTAATAAAATTCTAGTCTAAATTTTTGAATATTACTCTTAGCCAATTACTTTATATTTTAGCAATTAGTATTATTAGTTATTACTTCTACAATGTATATACTATATATATATATACATGCATATTGGTATCAAGAATTTGAATTAAATCACCTATAACTTACTTATAGTTGATCTTATGTTTTTAATTTTTGTGATTAATTATAACTAATAGACAATAACGGAAATTATAATATGGTTTTGCAATATGCTGATGGCGGAAATTTACGAAAATACCTAAAAGCAAGTTTTACGAAATTACAATGGAAAGATAAATTGCGCATTTCTAAAGATATAACGTAACGTATGGTCTTTTGTTCTTACATAGCAATAATATTATTCATAGAGATCTTGTAAGTATATTATATTCATGTTATATATCTACTAATTCTAGCACAACAAATAATGATCTGTTATATTTCATAGCATTCGAAGAATGTCTTAATTTATCGAGATCAACCAAAGATTGCAGATTTTGGATTATCAAAGCAGATAAACGAGATGTCAATGACTTCAAACTCGATGATTAAGGGGATGCCTGCATATATGGAGCCTAAATGTCTTATTGATCACAAATACAGACGAGATAAGAAATCTGACGTATATAGCCTTGAAGTAATTCTCTGAGAAATTTTAAGTGGAAGGCCGCCATTTGAAAATTTTGAATCGAAAATGGCTCTCTGTTTTCATATATTTCAAGGAAATAGAGAAGAACCTATTAAAGGTACACCATCTCGGTATATTGAACTTTACAAACAATGTTGGGACAATGATCCTGCTAAACGCCCAGAAATAAGATTAATTCTCAATACTCTAAAACAACTTATTCCTAACGAAACTTTGAGTCAATACCATCCTGTAGAAACATCATCACAAAATAGTGAAATTTCCTCAAATTGTCAAGAAAATATAAATGCATTCGTAAATTCACTTGAAATTACGATATCATCTCCACTTTATTTACCCGATACAACAAATTCAAATATTTCAGTACAAAAAAATGCTATTCCTAACGAAACTTTGAGTCAATACCATCTTGTTGAAATATCATCTCAAAATAACGAAATTTTCTCAAGTCGTCAAGACAATATAAGCGCATTCGTAAATTCACTTGAAATTACGACATCATCGCCACTTCATTTACCCGATACAATAAATTCAAATATTTCAGGTACTAATAGTAATAGCAGCGTTACTGGTGTAAGTTTCTGTAGATTATTCCCTCTTATTTCTGATCTATTTTATAGCGTAGTATGTATTTACGAATTTTATTTGCCTTATTTTTAGTGCCCGCTGATACCATTATGTCAAGATGTTAAGGAAAAATATAAAAACGAATATGGAACTGTGTTGGGTTATGACAATAATTCTGTTCGTAATCCCACTCAAAACTTTGTCAGTCAAGATCAAATGCCATTTAATAATCCTACTCAAAGCTTTGCTGGTCAAAATCAAGCGCCAGCCAATATTCCTGCTAAGAATTTTATTAGGCAAAATACAAAGTCAACTAATAATCTTGCTGTCACTCAATATCCAATGCCAATTAATAACTCTGCTGGCAAAAATCAAATGCCATCTAATAATCCTACTCAAAACTTTATCAGTCAAAATCAAATACCAACTAAATATCCTACTCAGAATGTTACCGGTCAAAATCAAGTGCTAGTTAATATCAATGCTAAGAATTCTATTAGACAAAATACAATACCAACTAATAATCTTGGTCAGAACTTTGTCACTCAATATCCAATTCCTCTAATGCCAATTAATAACTTTGCTGGTAAAAATCAAATAATCCTACTCAAATCTTTATCAGTCAAAATCAAATACCAACTAAATATCCTACTCAGAACGTTACCGGTCAAAATCAAGTGCCAGTTAATATCCCTGCTAAGAATCCTATTAGACAAAATACAATACCAACTAATAATCTTGCTCAAAATTTTGTCGCTCAATGTCCAATGCCAATTAATAACTTCGTTGGTAAAAATTATTTACCAAATGGTTTTATTCAAAATAAAGCATTCAAATTTACTCAACAACCATTTACTCCCTTTACTAATGGAAACCGTGCCAATTTTACTAGCGCTATAAATGTAAGATTTTTTCAGATTATTCCTCATATATTTATGATCTGGCATATTTTTACGAATTTGTTTGTCCTTGTCTTTAGTGCCCACTGATACAACGATGCCATGAGGTTAAGGAAAGATATGAAGAAGAATATGGAAATCTGTTGGGTTATGAATATACTGAGGAATGCCATGCCAGGCTATCACGCTGGATTTGGTGACATTAAAGGATTACGTCATCATTTTACCTATGGTGCGAATGTTAATGGAATTTTTCGTTTCACAAATACCATGGAACATCTTGTAATTATCGCCGCAAAATATTGTAATAGTAGGTGGAAATTGATTGAGATATTTAAACTTTTGAAAGAATATAACGCAAATTTCAAATATGTTTCAAGAAGCACTGGAAAAATTGCATTGCATTATTTATACGAAAACTCATCCTTTACCAGAGAACTCAATGATCATATAGGATTACAAAAGTTTCATTTGTATATGAAAGAAACAATAGAGTTTTTAGTAAACAATGGTTGTGATATTAATGCTAAGGAAAATTTTAAGCATACAATATTATCGTACTATTTATGTGACAGATTTAGACACAAGGAGTACGCACCAATTATTCTCTTTTTATTAAAAAAAGGAGCAAATCCAAATATCCCATCAGGAATCACAGCAGTATCTCCTTATAATGCACCTAATGCATTATTTTTGGCCGTAAAGATAGGTTGGCCAATCGAGGTGCTTAATGGACTACTTGATTACGGAGCAAAGGGTGACATAAAAGATCATCATGGAGAGAATCTGTTAGTTTTGGCTGCTAGAGAAAAGCAATCTGCTGCAATTGATTTGATATTGGAAACTATCCCTGAAGCTAGTGCTAGTGACTGCATAGATTTTGCTATGAAGCTCTTAGATAAAAAAGACAGGAACAAACTTTCGAAATGGAAAGGACCTGAAGGAGAGATCAAACGACGATTAATTCAAGAAAATTTAGAACTTAAGAGGCAGTTAAGAACAATAAACGAATCTTTGTAATAAATAGTTGTAGATAATAACACTTTAAATCTATAAATAGAAAAAGTGCAAGTACATTTTAGTCTGTTTAGTAATAGATATTGCATATAATATTATAATTAAAAATTAATGTAATATTAATTTAAAAATTAATAAACTTACATGCTTTAATATGATGTTAAAAAAGTAAAACAAGCAATAATTGATAAAAAATATTTGGTTTGGTATTTATTTATTAATTAAATTATATGATATTTATATTAAATATAGTACAAGTTCCCTAATTACGTTTTCCGGGTGATGGATATTGCTATATAAGAATAGGGTCCAAATTAGTACAATTCGGGCCTATTTGTTATGCAGCAATAATTGTCACACACGTTATTTACCACACTTCTAAGAATAGTTAATCCCACAGAAGTATTGAAATATATTTTTTGTAAATAATGATGTATAAAATCATTTTTTTAAACAACAAAATTTCTAATATTAATAGCCTTTAAACAAAAAAATCAATTTATATTAAAGTTAGAGTTAAAAAAAGTTATAGTATAGCTAAATTGCATAAAAAATTTTTTGTAAAAGCTAAAAGATTTATTAAAAAAAAAAAGAAAAAGAAAATTACATTGAAATATATTCTAAGTAATGATTTATTTTTAATAATATATAAATATATCTTTAACAATTTTTGGTTTACTATTCAACAAAAAAAAAAATAGTTGTTTTTTCGCCTCATAAAATACATACATAGCCAACTTTTTCTATACCAACTGTTTGGCTTCGGATAGTATAAAAAAAAAGCTATTATATAAAATTATATACTGCTATATTGCATGTTTCTTAAAATCATAACTCTCAAAACAATATAAAATTTAGAATTTTGTATTTTGATCCGAAATCACATATAACCGGCAGAACTGTCCGGCTACCATTTTTTACAGGTGACGCTAGGGATTGTTTTGTAAATTACTAATATAATCAATGATCATCAATGCGACAATTCCTCACTTGTGAAAATTGTTAACGATCATTTCCACATCAGTTTTCAATAAATTAATCACATGATGTAAAGCAATAATGCTAAATAATAAAACTGATGAACATGATTCTAAAAGAAATGAATACAATGGGAAATGTTCAAATTGTGGCCGATACAACACTTCAAAAGCCTGGTGCCAGACATGTGATCCTCTAAGAACAATTCAAGGATGGACGAGTGGATTGATGATTTCATTAAAGAATTTCAACTTAAGGCAAAAGAATATGAGAATGTTATTGAATGGATTCCTTTTGATAAATTAGATAACATTCAAAAGATTGGTAATGAAATTTCAGCAACCTGGTTAGATGGGATACGTTTAATTTCATATCTAGATGATAAATGCACACAATCGCGTTTGCAATCATATAGAGTAACTCTCAAAACTTTATCTGGTTTTCAAAATTCATTAGACCTTTTAAATGAAGTAAGCCATAATTTTATTAAGATTTACTGCTTATAGTTGTACTTAATTAATAAAACAAAATCTATTTTATATATTTTATAAACTTAAAATTTATATATATTCAGAGAATAGTAAAGTATACGGATTAACACAAAATAAAGTCACTAGCGAATATATGTTAGTGCATGATGAATTTGGTCGTAAAAGGGATAAAGAATACGAGTTATGTGAACATTGTAACCGATATAACACTTCTCCAGTTTGGTGTCAGTCATGCGATCCTCAGAAAGAAACTCAAGGATGGACAAGTGGAAATGTGGAAGTAGATGAATGCATCAAAGAATTTCAACTTAAACCAACAAAATATAATGATGTGATTGAATGGATTCATTTTGATAGATTAAATGATATGCAAGAGGTTGGTGATGAAATTTTTGCAACCTGGTTGGATGGCATAAGAATGATTACAGATTCTCTTAATGATTCCAAACGATCACGTTCGCAACCATGTAGAGTATTACTCAAAACTCTACCGAATTGTAAGAATTTATTAGATTTTTTAAGAGAAGTATATTATCTTATTCTATTATCTCTGATAATATTATTTATACATTATTCTGTTTTATTTATTGCTTATTTTTATTTAAAAAAGTTTAAAAATTATATGCAAATAGGGGATAAAAAGCGAAATGTACGTTATAATATTTATTTAGTTTATTGTATATAGTTAATTTTGTTAATCATATATCAATTTTTATTTATTTAATTTTCATTTTTTTTATTTAATAAGTTTGTTAACAATGAACAAGGGGTACGTATAATTTTTATCTCTTCTATTATATAGGTAATTTGTTGATCATCACAAAATAAATTCTATATTATTTATTTTAGACGTTTAAATTTGAGAACCATGAACAAAAAATATATGGTCTAACTCAAAATACAAGTACAAATGAATACGTGTTAGTAGTTAGTGAATATAGTCTTACGAGGAATGTAAATTACGGAATATGTGAAACTTGTAACAGATATAACACTTTCATAGCTTGGTGTCATACGTGTGATCCTCAGAAAGTAACTCAAGGATGGACAAGCGGAAATGAAGATATTGATGCTTATA